AATCTTATATCTTAAACGTCTTTCGGGTTATCCACATCAGTCTACTCGGGGAGTATGATACTTCGTACTAGTATACATGTACTGGTACCTACCGCCAAGATTGCGTTTCTTTTATCGCTCAAACTGCTTACTCCTTTAAAGAAATAGTTTTTGTCAATGGTTGCACCTTTACATAGTGGCATATTGTACCAGCTACTTCTGGAAGCTGATGATCCGATACAAAAGGTCTCGTTTTGTTATCAAGATGTAACAATGCCATAGTCTGTACCAGTGTAGCTCTCCTAAAACCAACCATCTTAAGTCTGCTGCTAGGCAGCCTGCTTGCAGTGGGCCAGCTCTAATCTACCTCACTTCGTCTTTTGATGCCTACAAGTAACTAGCTCGTCTCTCTTCATCTTCTCTACCTGCCTACCGAGTCGTAGGTTATGAGCCCAAGCCAAGTCTCTAGCAACGACTTCCCACGCCTCATCGGCGCCGAGAACTTCGACGTCTGGAATACCCGTGTGTGCGTGGCAAGCACCTACTCGGCTACGTAAAGCAGTCCGACTACGATGGTGTGTCTGAAGACGAGCGTAAGTACAGCGGCAGCGATATGTCTGATGTAAACGATGAACCGCATGCCAACGCTACCAAGAACGTCGAAATCGACTCCGACGCTGTGGACTACGACGAGAGCGACTACGACCTCAAGCCACCCTCGGACTCAGAAGATGACTCTGGAGCCAGCTCCGATACGTAAATCAAGAGGAAGAACCTCCCGGTTGTTCGACCATTTAACCAGCGCGAGGCTCGCCGTGCACGCAAACGCGCCAAGAAAGAGAAGCACCAGCCTTTTAGCCAGAGTGAGCGCCGTCGACAAGAAGTTAAGACCAAAGCCTTCTTCATGAAAACGATGAACAACATGCACGTGCGGCTGGTCAAGAATCTCACGACATCCTACGAGATATTCAACTACATCTTCCAGAAGTACGAGGGAGCCGCCTTTCATGGTGATCAGTAATTTATTTAACACCACTTAATGGAGATCAAGCATGAGGAAAGCTCCGACTTAACCGAGTTCTTTCTCAAGCTTAAGAACGCGATGAAAACCACGTCTGAAGCCACCGAATCGGTGATGACCGAGGGACAGAAGTCTATCTACCTGTTTCACTCGATGCCCAAGTCATGGAAGGACGATCTCCGCATCTGGAAGGGCCAGCGGAAGTATATCCCGTATGAAGACCTTAGGCAGAGCATTGAAGGCAAGGCTCGCGATCTTAAAGCTCAAGAGCGCTACACCTTGGCCAAGGGCACACCAGAGACCTCTGCAACCAAGGCTGAGAGGGCTCTAGTGGCTACCGGACCTCCTGTGTCACGAACGCAAGGCCATGACAGCGCCAATGTCTGCTCCTACTGTGATCTCCCACGCCACAACATTCGTCAATGCTAAGGCCTTCAAAACGATTTGCGAGATGGACGAGTGAAAGCTGGGACAGTGCTTCCTGCTAACTTCGCCTTCAAGGGTAACTCGAAACGCGATCACCCGTACCAGAACTCGAGCAATGGTGGCAATGGATGACACGGCAAGAATAACAACAACTGCGACTTCAAGGGCAAAACCAGTAGTAACAAGAACAAGCATGGAAATGGCGGCAAACAACGCGGTCAAGATCGCTACAAGGGTCGCCCTCTTGAGTCAGACAATGACGAGGAAGATGACGACGACAGCGATTCTGGAAACAACCGCAAGGCAACTCGCCAAGGACGTCGTGACACCGGTCTCATCGCTGTTTATAACCACAGTCAATCTCCCGTTTAGCCTCACTTCTCAAGCCAAGGTAGAACCCGACCCCACCTGGACGATCGACTCTGGCTGCACTCGCCACGTCACCCATGAGTCTCAGTGATTTACCAACATCACCTCCAGTGGTGGATCAATTACGGTTGGTGGTAATAACCAAATCCCCATCGAAGGCATTAGACGGGTCGATCTGGAAGTCACTGACTCCAAGGGCACTATGGAGAAGCTTATACTTCGTAGCGTCCTGTATGCTCCCCAGCTCCAATTCAGTCTGCTATCAATTCCAGCAGCTGTGAAGCACGACTTTCGCTTCAACTTTGACCGCAAATAGTGTTATATGCAAACTGACCAGCGCTTCAAGATCAAAGCGCTCATGACTACCAGCACGGATCTGTATCAGTTCCAAGCCAAACCGGCGGCACCTCCAGCGGCATTTATTGCCTCAGGTAAGTAGCGCTCCTTTCTTCTCTTACATAAACGACTTGGACACCCTAACGTTCGTGTCTTGAATGGTCTATCTAGGAGCCAGGCCATATATGGACTCGATGGATCTATACCTCTAGGTCCAAAGACAGATTTCTTGTGTGTTGCCTGCACGTTAGCGAAGTCACACCGCTCCCCATTTTACTCTAATAAAGTTGTTAAACGTGCTACAACACCCTTGTCGAAAGTCCATCCAGATATCAGTGGTCCACTACCTGTGCCTAGCCTTACTGCTTGTCGTTACTTCTTGATCTTCATCGATGCCTTTTCTCGATTCATGTTCACTTATACAATTAAGAGCCGTCATTGATAAAATCTCAACTTTGTAACCCCCCTCCCCCGCACTCACTTTGTGTCGGTGATGATACATCATTTACACCTTTGCCCGCCCATAGTTGGCTCATTCAACATCCAAAGTCGGCAGCTTTAATTTTGGTTCATTTTTTGCCGGAGCGAGGTACCCGAAATAAGCAGTACCACTATCCTTAGTGCAGTCAAAGCTGACTAATCCATACTCAAAGTCGGCATGCTGTACTCCTCTTCTCCCTACAGATCCACCTACTCGCCGTACACCTGTCCTCGAAGCGAATTGCGGCGATGACGAACTTCGCAGCATGCAACTCCATGTAGAAGCTTCACTGTACTGCCAAGGTACGTGAACAACCAGTCATTCTTCTTTCAATGCTTGGCTCACAGACTCACAGTTACAGAAATACTTCCTATAAAATATCTGCAGCTGACTCATTTTTCATTTTTCTCTGTGAACACACGAGTGAACCATTTCCTTGGCTTAAAAAAAGTGAATATTCAAAATTAGGGAAGGTCGCAACAGCGACGTAGTGTACGCATACGATACCGATTCTCCAACGTTTGCCTTACTCTGGAACGGTGGAGTGAGCTTCAAGCCCCGAAGCTGCAGCTGAACGACTTTTTGCGGGAGTGAGCGCTGGCGTACCGAAACATTCCACTGCACGCCGACTTTTTATCGGAGTCTTAGCCGGCGTGCCGAACGATTCAGTAAAAGCGTAGTTAGCGTCGTCTTCGAGCTTCATAGCCGCGATGCTATCAAAAACCCACTGAATAAAATGCCAGTTAGTTAGACAGTTCATAGCTCAGCACTTTTAACAGTACGTAGACGTTACCTTCGAGGTGACGACACGAATACCAGTCCGCTGAGCTCGTCGGAGCAACGAGGCATCGCCGCATATGCAGATGTCAGCAACTGAAATCTGGTTGCAGAGCTGTAAATTTCAACACAAATAACAAAACTTTAGCGAACAAATGGCCATAACAATTCACCTACAGTGACTCACCTCTCCACCAGCGACTTGAATTAGAGACTGAAGCACTTCACGTGATGGTTCCACGTTAGATCCGACGAAGAACTTGGTGCCTTTGAAGACCTGTCGAGACTCTGGATGCTCACGTGAGTACTTGTTCGCAAACATGGTCAGTTCAAAGTCTTCTTCGGGCAGCCAACGCTCTTGTTCCAGTGATGAAAACGCCCAATCTTCCGTCACTATCCACGCCCCACGAGCGATTGCAAAGAGCACTTTGATGGTGCGTCTCGCGTCTCTGCCCACGATAAGGTGCGTCACTCCTGCAGCGTAATCCATACTCTTGAGCACGCGCGCTTTGCGGTATCCAGGCTCGTTGGCCATATTGGCGTCGATCGCGTGGATCGCGCATTGAAGAACTCCACGCGCCTCTGCACTGACTCCAGTGATCCCAAACACGTTGCGTGGACTCTTTCGCGGCGTTTTCCTGCTGGTTGTGCTGGAAAAACTCATCGCCATTGGGATCGGAGTCGAATTCACCTCGCGATGCTTCCTCATGAAGCCAGAAACTGAGCCTGGCGTCACCATCTTGTTCACTGTGTCGTCCCTGTTCTCTCGTCGCGCCTTCTTGACCACAGGAGTCGTCAAACTGCTGCTGGAGACAGGAGGACGAGCACGTTTCTTCGCTGCACTCTGTGTGAGCTTTATGGCGCTTGCCGTTGCTGGTAGTTTCCGCTTCGCTTTCTTCACTGGAGCCTTCGGCTTGTCTATCGACACGGAAGCACTTGCCAACGACGAACGCGCTGTCGGTTTGGGTGCCACGCTACGTGCCACTGGACTTTGAGTTCTTGACCGGTTGGCAGGACTGGGCGTTGCGCTTTTTGTTGATGCTCGCGCTGCTCTAGATGCTGCTGGACTTGGCGTTCGAATCTTGGCAGTTGAGCTGGCTGTCGGTCGTGTCAGTGACCGCGGCGTCCGTTCCCGCATCGACGGACTACTGAGAGGCGTCTTGACGCTGTTAGCCGAGCCTGGCGTTCTCGCTTTCGTGTTAGAAGTCGGCGTCTTGCCTTTCGGTGTCGCTGGGGCGGACACAGTTGTCGTCGGTGTGGCAGGAGTCTTGGGAGAGTCTGCTACGGTGCTTGCAACGGTTGCAGGCGACGCAGTAGCTGTACTATCAGCACTTGGCGACTTAGCTGAGCCCCTGGAAGCCTGGCAGTCCGTACAATATCTGCGAGTTCGTGGATTCGAGCATCCACATGCGGCACAGGACCAAATACCGGTTTTCAGCGTCAATCCACTGCCATACGAGAGCGAATTCCTGTTGCGACGTCGTAATTCTCGTGCTGTGGGCTGCTTACTGTCGTCCGGGGTAGCGATATCGAGCTCTCCATTGCTGGTCGTGGGCGTACCCGTGGAACCTGATAAAATCATGGCCTGAGCAGGAGACGGCTGACTCGCTTGACTGTCTTGGATCACAATCACGTCGTTCGTCTTGTCTTTGCTCTCGTCCTCATTCTCCGACTCGCTCTCCGCTACGATTCCACTCGCTTGAGACGCTGTGACTTCGTCCTCATCCTGTTGTGTCGGTAGACCATTCAGCGTCTTTCTCCGCTTGGCTGACGAGCTGACACTCTTCAAACGAATAGGCTGTTTCGTAGGTGTGCTGAACTCGCCTTCCTGCACGGGCTCGCTTGTCCCCAGCATCTTCAAAATGGCGTCGGACGTCGCAGGCTCCATGGAGAGAGCGCGTCGCTTCCTTCTGCCGCCATTTAGTGCCTTGTTTACCTTAAATTTCGACGGTGGCGCTGCCGCCGCCTCCTTCTTGTCCTCTGTGGAGGCGCTTGACGCCTTGTTGTCTGTATTCTCTTTGTTATCGGTCTTGGACGCATCCGATCCGAGCGATTGTCGCCTCTTAAGCTTGGGTTTGGCTCTACTAGCGTTGGTTTCAATGATATTCTGCTGACTTACCGGGAAGAATGGTAGCTCGTCCATGCGCTTCTTACTGACGTAGCAGGCGTTGACCCAGAGCTGGGAGACGATCTTTAGTTCGTATCTGGTGGCTGCTGCGGCCATGGAGCCGCCTCCTGCTTGCCATTTGCCGATCTTGGTCTTCCATACGGGTGTAAAGTGGCTAAGTACCATGTGTGTGAGTTTGGGAGTGAAGCGCTTAACGGTGGAGGCCCCGAGCTCGCGCAGTTTACGAGCCACGACGTCGCTGCAGTCGATCTGAGCGTCTGCACCGACGCGGACGTCTACCATAGCTACAACGCCCTTTAATGGGCCAGTAATGCGAGGTCGACGGCGAGTGGATGGAGCTGTGACGGATGTGGATGGACCTGTGGGTGCTGTGGAGGCTGTGGAGGCTCGAGGAGACGCGCGTGTGGGCATTCGCGTGGTACGCGGCATCGCTGAGAGGGAGATGGACACTGCGGCCACCATGAGACTGCACACACAGAGAGAAAAGCGACAGTGAATGCGCCTCCCGCCTAGTTGACCCTGAGCGATTTTCAAATGTCGTCTTGCGCGCGGAATTGGAAATATAGTACAGAACAGGTTCGTGTAAGTACGAAAGAAGAATTGGTGTCAGAGTGAAGGTTGGTGTGGTGGACGTAATAAATGAGATGGCTACAGCACTATTTCAAGCGACTCACAAAAATCTACTTAGTACATGGTCAAGTGTTTGTCGAAGTACAAAATACTTAGACAAACACTTGACCATGTATGCAGCACTACGCTGATGCTAGCAATAACAAAACTAAGCGTTGTGATCCAAGCACATTGAGTGATCTAGTATGCTCGATTAAAAGAAGGCAAGGGCGGTTAATCAAAGTCAGATATCGTGATGATCACGTTGGTCTCAAGTGTTGGGAAAACTATCAAGCGAGTGTAGTCAATGGATAAGGTGTTTTCAAGTTGCTGTAGCGATATCGAAAGCCGCTGATGCACTTGGTGTGGCCATTACTAGTATTCCTCCTACCGCTACTAGCACCTTCCTATGAGAGCTATCCGAATATACAAATTCAACGCTACTAAGTTTATAAATCATTGAAAATTGAAGACCACCGCAGTAATCGCCGGAAATTCGATCCTCAACCTCTAGGGTGGACCTAGCTGCACGAAGGCGTGCGAACCGATGAGATGGACCGTTGTCGCGCGCTTCCGCCCGCTCACCGTGGCCTTGCTGTCCTCCGATGCCGACCCGGCATTGACTTTTTTGCCGGGGAGTAGCATCTTCATCTTTTGCGAAAACTTTGAGTTGTGACGCTGCTGATTCGTGGTGGTGGTGGCTGCAGCAGTCTGGTTGATCGTTTTGTCTGTCCTGTTGTCAACGTTCGCTTGGGTCTTGTCATGTAGGAGCTTGAGACTGCCGTATGTGTTCAAAGGGAGTGCGAAGCGAGTGTGTGCATTCATCCTGGCAGCTGGAGTCTTGGGGTGCTGTTGATCTGCGATGCAAGTTGCAAAGTGAGAAGCTCTGTGCCGCTTCAAGTTGAGCAGTACCATCATTCCTGAAAAATGCATTGCTATAAACATTCACTATCGAATGAAGAGAACTGAAGTTGCCTTGAGGGGCCCATGATCGCCATTTTCTGAGCGCCCAGTCAACAGTCAGCTAGAAATTGTAGTTTTCAGTTTTCGAAGTGCAAAAGATGGGGTGAGCGACAAAGTGACGCATCAAGATCCTGTTATCCTGTATGAACTCTGTCATCGGACACCAAGCGTTATACTGTATAGTACAGTATAGCTTATGCTGTTTTTCGATTACCCGACTACATTGTGAGTGTATTCGCCATTTAAATACTTGAAATGAATGAATGATGGTAGCGTTTGTACTGTACATGTACCACAAATTGCTGGTACATGTACAGCAAATTGCTGGTAGCTCTACAATTTCTAGAGCACCAGCCAGCTATCAAAAGAGAACACCAAACGTGGCAAGGACAGCTTCTCTCGTTGTTAATTTACAATACTGTCATCGTGCGCACCGTTTAGGGTGAGCTTGTCAAATCTGCTGCTCGCGCTAACTCCACCAAAAGCAAGGTCAGTCTACCTAG